ATCTCTCTAAGGGGAACATGTTGTGTAGGAACACAGGACCAAGAATGAAAATCTCCTTGACTAGGTGAACTAGGAGGTGTGTCATGATATCAAAGAAGGAAGGAGGGGACACCAACTCAAAGCTAACGAGACATTGAATCACATCATTCTGTAGTTTAGCTAGATCGGTTGGATCAATTGCCTTCTGAGAAATTGCATTGAGGAATGCACATAGCTTCACGGTGGCTAGACGTACATTTGGAGGTAGAATTCCTCTTAATGCAACTGGAAGTAATTACGTTATGAGAATGTGACAGTCATGGGACTTTAAGTTACAGAATTTCTTCTCTGGCACATTTATAATACCCTTTATATTTGAGGAGAATCCAGATGGTACCTTGATGTTGTTTAAGCATTCAAACATGATTTCCTTCTCCTCTTTGCTTAGAGTGTAGCTGGCAGGACGTAAGTAATGGCGTCCATCATCTGTCTTCTCTGGATGCAGGTTGTCTCTTTCTCTCAAACAACGCAGGTCCTGTCGTGCTTCAAATGTGTCCTTAGGCTTTCCATACACACCCATGAAGCCTAGCAGGTTCACACAAAAATTCGTCGTCAGGTGCATCACGTCGATCGAACTGTGGACCTCTAGGACTTACCAATAAGGTAGCTCCCAAAATATGGACTTCTTCTTCCACATGGGTGCATGATCGTTAGCGTCATTCGGAACAGGTTGGCTGCCATGTCCTTTTCCAAAGACGACTTTCACATCATTGACCATATCGAGTACATCCTCACCGGTTCGGTTGCGAGGCTTGGTCAGGTAGTCTGCCTTCCCTTTAAAATGCTTGCCTTTCTTTCTTACGGGGTGATTTACAGGAAGAAATCGACGATGGCCAAGGTACACGACCTTTCGACATTTTTTCAAGAATACACCTCTAATATCACCGAAGCAGTGTGTGCATGCATTATATCCCTTGTTTGACTGTCTTGAAAGATTACTTAGAGCAGGCCAATCATTGATTGTTACGAACAACAATGCTCGCAAATCAAAGTGTTCTTGTTTGTACTCATCCCACACACGTACACATTCTTTATTCCATAAAATGAGAAGTTCGTCAATAAGTGGTCTCAGGTACACATTGATGTCATTGCCAGGTTGCTTCGGGCCTTGGATGAGCACAGGCATCATAATGAACTTCCGCTTCATGCATAACTAAGGAGGAAGGTTGTAGATACTTAGAGTAACAGGTCAAGTGCTATGACTACTGTTCTGGTCTCCAAAAGGATTGATACCATCTGTACTTAAAGCAAACCATAAGTTTCTTGCGTCATTTGCAAACTCCAGGAATTCTCTGTCGATTGCTCTCCACTGGGACCCATCAGCAGGGTGTATCAACATATTGTCTACCTTACGGTCTTCTTTGTGCCATTGCAACAATTTTGCATGTTCTTTGTTTCTGAACAGATGTTTCAAGCGTGGTATTATAGGAGCATACCACATAACCTTGGCAGGGATTTCTTCCACGGACGTTTGCCCTCAACATCACCAGGGTCATCTCGCCTGATCTTATACCGCGATGCATGGCATACCGGGCACGCATCCAATTTCTCGTACTCTTTGTCACGGTAGAGGATGCAGTCATTAGGACATGCATGTATCTTCTCGATTTCTAGCCCCATAGGACAGACAATTTGTTTTGCTTCATAGGTAGTGGCGGGCAATTCATTGTCCTTCGAAAGCATCTTCTTTTGGATTTTTAGTAACTCTCCAAATCCCTTGTCAGATACACCATTCTTTGCCTTCCATTGCAGCAATTCTAGTGTGGTTCCTAACTTTTTCTGCCCTGCATCACAAGTTGGGTACAACAATTTCTGGTGATCTTCTAGCATCCGCTCGAACTTGATCTTCTCATTTTCACTTTCACATTCTCTTTGTGCGTCACGAATGACCTGACAAAGATCATCAGTAGACTCATCTTCTACGGCTACCTCTTCTTCAACTTCTCCCATTGCAGCATCATTGAAGCACGCACCATCGGGAATAATATCATTGTCGTCCCATTGTTCTTCTTCACATTCTTCCATTACAACACCGGTTTCTCCGTGCTTTGTCCAACAAATATAGTTTGGCATGAAACCCGACTTGAACAAGTGTGAATGAAGAGTCCTTGAGCAAGGATATTCCACCGTATTCTTACATACGACACATGGGCAGCACATGAAACCATTGCGTTTGTTTGCCTCGGCCGCACGTAACAAAGAATGCACGCCGTCCATGAACTCTTGGGAGCGACGATCAGCATTGTACATCCAATGTCGACTCATCTGTATTACACGACATAAATACCGTATTAAAACCTATAACATAATTAGTTAATTATATAACATGCATATCACCACAAAAGCTATAAATTTAAGAAATCCTCGCTACAATGTAGACAATCCCAACTACCACTAAAAACACTAAAGCTAAAATGCACTTCAGCAGCACAAGAATTTTGCGACCAATCCCAACTAAAACAGATAGATCCCCCGTTTATTCAACATCTTTAGGCTTCTTTGGCTGGATCACTGCCTCATTAGCCACCATATCTGCCTATTGTGCAAGATATTTTTGCACGAGTTCAACATACTCTTCCTCCCAGTAGAAGCCTGAACATCCAGTGCCATCCCACTGAAATTAAAACAGAAAATTAGAACTTTAATCACAACCATCATGAAAATAGGTATAAACTAACCATAGTCATTAAATACGATAAAATAACTCACATTGCGATCCGGACACTTGTAGAAAATGCGACCCTTGTTGGGACCCTCCTTCTTCACTCGGTACTCCATCACAATCTTTGTCTCATCACAACACTTGTCGCATGCAATGAATGGGAGGCCCGGCCTAAGTTGCTTTGGAAACCCATGAGAGGCCGAGGACCCGGAAGCAGTTGCCATCTACTCTCTATACTCATTTTTAATACACTATAAATTTCTCATTTTATAAATAAATAAAATTAAAAAACTTTAAAATTCTCTATATCTCTAAACAATGAAGTGTGCTATCCATGCTACAAATGAACGGTGAATACTAGTTTTTAATAGCTCCTTTAACCTTCCTTCGTGTAAATATGCAAGCTTGAAGTTTAAAGGTTTCCAGAGCGTTTAACACTACTCTGCTTGCCGTGGCCATGGTCATTGTGTTCTCATCTTTTACTGCGGCAGGTAAGTAATTCACATGATATTTCCACAAATTAACAGAAGAATGGGAGTGTACACACATAACAATCGATTATCGTTTATATTTATATATATACTACGTTTGGGTACGGTGATTGACAGACTACTGTGACGATATCGAGATGTGTGAATAAATAATCATCCGTACTAGTTGACATTGCTTACGTGATCATCTCGGCGAGCATTTCTCCACCGGACGGCACCGTACTTGGCCCGGAAGAGCTCTGATTCTACGAGGAAGGGAACACGGTCTTCCACGACCGTTGTCTCTCTCCCTCGTAGAATCAAAGCTCCTCCTTGACATCCGTTACCGCTCGGCAGAGAACATGCTCGCTGAGATGAACACGGTCCGCAAGTTCAACTAGCTACTTTAACCTTCTTTCATGTAAATATGCAAGCTTGAAGTGATTTTGAGCTCAAATTGCTTACAAATGAAAAAACCACAATAAAGAACTATATATATAGTGAACAAAATGAGATAAGACAATGGTGAAAAATAAGAGTATGAGATTGGTAACCTTTACAACTGAAGAATCGACGGAGGAATCGAAGAAATCGACGAAGGAATCGACGGAGGAATCGAAGAATAGATAGAGGAACAATGGAGGGAGGAAGCAAGAACACTAGTGCAGTGAGCTTCAAAATGTGCTGAGCTCGGGCTCGGGGAGGAAGAAGGAGACGGCTGTGATATAAAGGGGGACCTTTAGTCCCGGTTGGTGGCTCCAACCGGGACTAAAGGTAACTTTCCAACCCCGGGCGCAGCCACGGCCCAGGAGTAGACCTTTACTCCCGGTTGAAGCCACCAACAAGGAGTAAAAGTCTACCTTTAGTCCCGGTTGGTGGTTCCAACCGGGACTAAAGGTCTCTGCAACCTCTGTCTGGCGCAGTAGCCGTTGGGCAGGGATCTTTAGTCCCGGTTGGAGTCACCAATCGGGACTAAAGGTATCTTTAGTTTCGAGCGCAAAAAATTTCAGAACTAGAGCCCATTTTAGCTGAAGATCAAAAGTCTATTCTCTACCGGTGCCAGTGATATTGGTTATCGAAGCCTGCATTTATTCTAACTGTTTGCCTCCATCAAAAGATCTTTATACACTCCTCCACTCGGAAACAGAGAAGCAATGAGAGGAGAACGAGGATAGCGATGGTGACGCATGCTCGCGAGGGTTGCAGCAGCTCGTCAGAACTGCGATGGAATACGCCTCCCCTAGTCCCGCCTCCCCCCGAGAGAGATCTCGAGAGAAAAGAGGAAAGATAACTATGAAGTTAAATTCATTTATATCGACTTTAAAACTGGTATTTCGATATCTATATATGGTGTCGTTCGCTGGTCTGGTTTCCAGACCAGCCGGCTGGTTCCTCCTCACAGCGGTACTATTCATCAACCAGCCGCTCACACAACCAGCCGCTATAGTATTTTTGTTTCTTTTTTCAGACAAACGAACGGGGCCTATGAGTATATTCTGTAAATTCAGAAACTAGAATAACACGACGATAAGTCTAAAGACCGCTGGTACAATATAAAGTTCATTCCAGTCATGTATCGCAGAAACTTTTCGACAACCCAGCCGAGATTTTTGACCGTTTACCTCACTGACTTCGGAATGGACCGGACCGGAGAGAAAAACTAGGATGAGAGGGGGAAAAAAATCCGAAATGACAAGGCACCGAACTACCGTCTACCGGAACGGAGCACGCATTCCTTCTCCCACCGTCCCACGGGCCGCGGCCCCACCATCAGACGGCGGACGGCGGAGTCGCGGAGACAACCGCACGATTCGTGACGGAGTGCGGAGATGGCACAACGGCCGCCGTCTGATCGGAACAACCTCCCGGCGTCAAACCTGGTGTGGGTCCCCCGCCCGCTTCCTCCCCATTTTCCGCGGTTTCTTCACGTTTCCTCTTTCCTCTCCTCGCTTCTCTCCCTCCCAAGCAACCGCTTCTCGCCGGCGGTGCCGCCACCGTCTCGGCGCCTCGCCGTACTAGCGCCAGAGGCTTCTCCGATATCTCGGGAGGCGTCGCCCGCGGCTTCGTCGGCCGATGAGCCGCTGCCCTGTGAGCTATCCTCTCCCGGTCTCCCCTCCTCTCTTCTCGTCTCTTTCTCCGACGCCGCCCGTTCATATCGCTGCGTGGCGCGCGTCGGTGGCTGCGCCGGTGATCGTGGTGTTATCAACGGAATCTAAGTTAGTAGAGTGCTCCCCTGTGCGATAGCGTCTGCTAATTGTTCGTGTTAGCGTGCCCCAGTCCATTTTTTTTAAATAAGGGATATTAGTTGTCTTCCTTTAATGGAGCGCGATTTTGTTCCTTTGTTTTTGTAATCGTGCGCCCGCGTGTCCGAGAATTGGATTTGCCCGCGAGTCTTAGCAATTGTTACAACAGTTACACTTCCACTTCAGTAGTTCAGTTGCTTGTGGTAGGGAAATCTCAATGACTGAATGGCTGTGGAAATTTTGTAACTATCAGTTTACTGGTTGGGATAGCTTCGAAGGGGCTTATCTTATATGTAGCTCATTGAAACAAAAAGGAAAGGTCATGATTTCGTTTGCGCAGTTTCTATTTACTTCTCTATATTCATTTTAAAAGCACTTTGTAATATTCAGATGAATAGTGATGTCTGAATATTAATGCGTTCATTGGTGAATTTGTTTTTAGGTTTCCTCTCGTGCAATATAATGGTGTCAAGGCCTGTAGTGCTTGTATTCCTGTTGCTGATACTCGTAGTCACGTCCCAGTTTGAATGGAAGCAACAGCTTGTAAATGAGTTGGAATCTAAAGCTCGCAACCAGAAACATGTTTCAAGTAGAGAAGAGCTTGTCAAGGATCAGGTGACTCACTGTGTGTATCTGAATGCTTTTTAAGCAAGGCTTTTTTTATTAGTTTTAGATAGTGACAAAGTTTTGTCTACAAATTGCTTTGAGATGAAAAGGAGCTACTTGAATAGCAGGGCTCTAATAACATGCGGATTATTGCTTCCTAGACCTTATTTTCATGGTAAATATACTTCAAGTGTTGAGACACGTTCAGTAACCTCATTTTAGATATATATATTCTTATGTTGTTGTTTCAGCACATTACAAAGATTGTTTGGTTAGAAAGAACATTATTATGTAGTACATGAGAATTGGAAATTTATTTGTCACCCATAGGAATGTTGCTTGAGGATTTTTTTTAATGGCACCAGTATTCAAATTTGGCTATAACTTTATACTTGTTTTCAGATAATCTTCACTCAAGAAAAGATGATTCAGAAATTGAATAATTTTATCCAGAATCTTCAGCAACAGTTGCTGCAGTGTCGTGGCAACAATAGGACAGTGAATCCTTCTGGAACTTCTTTGACATCCTATATTAGTGAGATCCAGAGGCCGCGGATGATGGATGACTGATAACGTCGTGCGGTGTGAGCTATACAGATAAAAAGATGGGATATTGACACAGAGTCATGTGGGCAGCACAGTTCACCCAGTAAAAGCAGTTATAATGTAGTATTAGCCTGCACAGAATAGTATTCGATCAGTTCCAGAGCAAAAGGAACGCTGATCCTTTGAAAACCTGTGTAATTTTATTTTCCTTTCCTTTTTTTTTTTTGCTAAGAGAACCTGAATATTATTTGTTTTATGATTGACATCTATATATATTTATAACATATAAGCTTTACATTCTATCCTCTACAGATTTTGTGACATGAAGGTGTTTTAAAAGTGTAAATTGCTCTTTAGTGCGTGCTCTGGCATTAGCACTGAAACCTCTTCAAAGAGGAGAGGACTCTGCTTTGGCATATTACAGTCTCCGTTTCTCCCCATTTTACAGTCTCCGTTTCTCCCCATTTCACAGCATGCTGCAACTTTCTTAAAACATCATATCAGTGTTAATGCCAACAGATTTTCACTGTATGATTCTCACATTTATGCAGCTTTAATCTTTTTCTCAGTATTTCAAATGCTTTAATTTCAGCAGAATTTTGGACTTATGCTATTTCCTAATGAAATTCTTATTGTAAGAGTGTTTCTTGACGTGGAGATCAGGGGTCAGGGCTAATTGATGAATGTGCAGACACCATCAGCATAGTTTGGAGCTTAATCTGTTTGATTGCCATAGTAAAGGATCTAGTGCCACATGCTTTCCGGTAATAACTTATTACTATGTTGTTAAATATATCTGGATAAATTGTCACTATATTGTATATTGAATATTGTGCCAATACTTTTCTTGTGAATCCTGGGGTTATGTACTTATGTTTGCCTTGCATACTTTAACTAAAGAAGTAAGAAAGTTGCTGACTGTTAGTATATTATTTTGGACTTCACATGGATGGGAGACTAGACAATAGTTGTTTCTGAATTTTGGGATTATGTGATAATTTTGTGGCATTAATATGTACTTACATTACTTGTGGGTAAATGTTGTTGAGGGTAAGTCTTATTTAGTTCTTCCACATTACTCCCAGTACGTCAGTACTGAACTGAAATGTATTAATGCCTTTGACTAGGTCCTCTTGTCTTGTTACGCCACTCCTGTTGCGGAGCAGCAATGTTTGAAAGGGAGCTGTCGGCATGCCATCTTCTTAAGTGGTAGGCTATAACCATAATAGCCTTTTTCGTAATTTAGGGCTTGAAGCGATTGGTTTACAAGGTCTGAAGCTTTTTGAGCAACCAGGGCTGAATAGTACTTTTTGTGATGCCCTCATGATTTTTGCTCTTGCTTTTGCAGCAGGTTGTACTATAAGGCAATGATGACCATGCCAATGAAGGGCTGGAATGCTATCTTTACAGGAAATGTAGGTAATAGCACTGTGACAAACTTATAACATCAAGATACTCCTTAAGTTTGGCACATGGACTCTGAGTAGTGATTAATTTACACTTTATCAGTAACAATGATGTCTGAATGTTGCTTGCATCTAAGTCCATCTGTTTGCAAGGCTTTCCTGCACATTTATCTTATTTCATCTGTGCATTCACATATCCTCTATTTCTCTTGCGGTTCATGTGGCATGTACTGGGAACTGATGCTGATATATCCATTGCCTAATTACTTATCCTGGAGTCATTTTGCTGTTTTTCAAGGCAATCAGCTAGAGTTCTCGCACATTTTATGTAACAGGCTAACAGCATCCTTGTTTCAGACTTTCAGATGTGAGACGTGGGTAAATTCCTGAGTCATGCATATCTATCCAGGATTAAACAAGGTACGCAGAATTGCAGATTCCGAAATACCTTCTCATAATCTGGAGTAATTTGCTTTTGTACGACTGGAAGCTGATTAGACATGGTTGTCACTTTGTCATGGAAGTGCTGCGCATAGAGCGGGTGTTCTGCAGATGTCCCTGTCTGGGAACCTCTGCTACAGAGCAAGTATCTGCAGAGAGAGGATAGGTCGATGGCCAAATGCTGTGCCCATCGGTAGTGATCAATCTTTTCAATCTGTGCTCCATTATGTTCATTTGGATTTAAGATGCAAGAGTCTCTATCTCCCTGCAGTAGTTGGTGCATGTGCCCTGTACGACATTACGTTGTAACATTAGCATCTGGCGTTGGTTGAGCAGCAGTGCATCTGCTTCTTCTAGTTCGTGCACTGTGCAACTGTAGAAGCCTATAAGCAGTAGAGTGAGTTGCTGTTGTTTAGCACTTAGCTGGAAATGAACGCTCATTTCCAAATCATGGTTTGCCTTGGTTTTATCCTAAATAAAACTTTCTTAACATTGAAGTCATAGAAAAATACACCAACATCAGATTAGTTTTGCTAAATTCTCCATGAAACATGTTTTAGTAATGGATTTATTTAAAATTGTATATGGTAACATATTTTTTTTACAAGTTTGGTCAAAATTAGATAAGTTTAACCTAGGATAAAGCTAAACTGAACTACAATTTGAACGAAGAATGAAGAAAGCAGTACGTAAGTCCAATTGTCCAACAAACAAATTACCATATGGAAAAGAGCACTATCTGTAACCCTCCGTTGAGATGAAAGGAAGAAAGGGCTTGGCTTTGCTCCCCCTCCTTGGCCCCAACTGTGCTTGAGTAAGCCATCAGAACCCCATATACAACAGCAAACTTTTTTTAATACCTTTGCCCATCCATCAATCTCCAAGGTCTCCTATACCATTAAACTTCTTTTGAGAAACCCCTTGATCAGATCAGTTGATCTGGAAGGAAATTTTAATACCTACTAGTCGGAACCTCCACGCTTTTCGCGCGGATGAAGCTACTCTTGTTTGGTATGCAAAATGAAATAAAGACTATCTCATAAACTATTTTAGCTTTATCCATTTAGTGGTAGTTTCAAAGAATATCTCATGAAGACATTATGATTTCCTTTAATTAGGATTACACCCTTTTTAAATATAATGAAATCATAATTTTTAGTGGTAGTTTCAAATGCTAAATTCCTTAGCTAACCTTAATATCCTTGTTGACCAGATGTTCATACATTTTTATGAACACTCCAGACACAGATCCTTTCTAAGAACATCTGGTTAAGTCACTCCTTTAGTGGGTTAGAACTAAGTCATTGAGCCACAGTTGCTTCTTCGTGTTGAACAATATTAAATAAGTTAGGATATTGGAAGTTTAGTGCTGAGTACCTAACTGTTTGTCCTCCCAAAATCTAATTTGGTCTACACTTAGTCTAAATGTCAATAGATTTAGGAATCGTCTTTGATCCCATAAGGCTATACCAGAGTTTCCAACTTTTTTTCAACATTTGGCTCCAAGTTCATTCATAAGATATTTTTTTGTAATAACTCTTTCCATACACCCTTTTATTACTACAGTTTGAAGAGCCATTTAGTCAAAAGGCACTTGTTTTACAAGTGTTAGTTTTGTATTCCAAGACCCCCTTGCTCCTTTAGTTGACAAAGGATGTCCTACCAATATATATTTATTTTTGTGCTGATCATTTTACTAGAAAATCTAGCTAGATCTACAACACTCTAATTTCTTAAGTACTGCTCTCGGTATCTCAAAAAGGAGAGCACGCATATTGGCAAACTAGACAGAACTCGATTTATCAGCACACAGTCACCCACCGACCGACAAATATTTCCTTTTCCAACTACTTAAGATTTTTTCAATTCTTTCTATGTTCTTCTAATCTTTGTTGTTTAGTTTCCTACAATACATTAGGATACGCATATAATGAAAAGGATTGAGTCCCAAATATTCACAATATCCACAGTTACTTTGCACCCAAGTAATTGTGAATATTAGCTTTCACAAGGAAAGCATCTAGCCCCTAGTTGAGTTTCGGTGATTAATGACAATATGTGATTACTGTGACTAACGTGTGTTTTACAGATTCAATTAAGTTAGGTCATGGTAATGGAGATCGATTGTGCTATCATGGTGGTCATGCCTCTACGATGGAAATCGTTTCGGTTTTCAAAGGATGGACGACAAGGTTAAGGATGGACTACTTCTAAATGTCGTTTGGCGTTGAAAAGACACTTAGAATAGTTTAGGACTTTATTTTTCTTTTGGCCGTACTATTAAGGGGGTATGGACGGATAACTTGACCTAGGTGAGTCTAGTGGGTTAGGTGTGGTGCACACTTGTTAAATCTAGCACTAGGTAGCTCCTAAGAAGCCCTTAAATCCATTGGAGCAAACTTCATTCACGTATGATTGAGAGTTGGAAGTGAATGGAGGGTCAAATACTGACCGGACGCTGGTTCCGGTGTGACCGGACGTTGGCGCAGAGTCCAGTCAGTTCATTTGATCGAGGTTATTTCGTCTGGTGCGACCGGACGCTGAGAGGTGAGCGACCGGACGCTGGGTGCCAGCGTTCGGTCGACTCCAGTAAGGTTCCAGAGAGAAAATCGTGACCGGACGCTGTCGAACGTCCGGTCACAACTTAAACACTGGAGTTCGGGGAGAACTGACCGGAGCGTCCGGTCACCCCGCAGAGGCACATAACGGTTCGTTTTTCAACCGGTTGTATAAATACTTCCTCCATTCGTATGAGGTGGTACTTTTGCTCTTTTCAACAGCTGAGAAACACATTTGAGAGTGCCAAGAAGAGCAAGGTCATAGTGAGGTGATTGAGATTTGAGAATCCCAAATAGAGCCCTCATTAGTGAAAGCAAGAGTAGCAAAGTGTGTATCCACCCTTCTCATTAGGCTTGTCGTGGTCAAGTGAGAGTTCGTGCTTGTTACTTTTGGTGATCGCCATCACCTAGACGGCTTGGTGGTGATTGACAGTTTGGTGATCATTCGGCGGAGCTTGTGGATGACCCAACTCAAGTTGTGAGCGGTTGTGGGTGATTCACCGCAACGGAGTGTCAAAGAATCAACCCGTAGAGAGCACTTGATCCTTGCGCGGATCAAGGGGGAGCTACACCCTTGCGCGGGTGCTCCAACGATGACTAGTGGAGAGTGACGACTCTCCGATACCTCGGCAAAACATCGCCGCGTTCCTCCTTCTCTCTTTACTTTGAGCAATTCAATTATTGTCATTTACAATCATAGAATTGCCATGCTAGAGTAGGATTGGAACATAGGTTGCTAAACTTTTATGTGGTAGATCAATAGAAACACTTTCTAGGCATAAAGGGTTAATTGGGCTAACCGTAGGACTTAATTATTGCAAAGAAATTTAGAATTAACCCAATTCACCTCCTCTTGGACATCAAGATAGGATTAAGTCCATTTTTGGCTTCTCAACTCTTACATGTCTAATTTTAACTCTCAACTACAAAACTGTCTAACTTTGGCACGTCAAATATCAAAACCGTTTAATTTTAACCCAGAGCCATATCTAGACAACTTAAAACTACCTCGGGAGGTCAAAATTGAACAGGATAGTTGAGGTGCTAAAGGTAAACAAAGACAAGAGTTGAAGGGCCAAAATAGATTTAATCAAGTATTATAGTTTTTAGATATTTACAAAAATATGTTAAATTTACTTATTTATAAATATTTATATGTATTAAAATATTTATCTACATTTTTTGGGATTTATATATATATTAGATTAGATTTTTTTTTTGTTTTGAATATGGATCCGAATTTATTTAAAAATATAATATGTAGTTTTATGTTCTTATATTTGAAATTGAAATATTTTGACTTGTTCAAACAAAATCGGATGGAGAAATGGCCAAAACAAATTTTGTCTATCTTGATGAGATAACAACTTTGTAGTTGATGACTTTTTCATTTCAAATTATTTACGGCCCCAAATTCTTGTTTGAAGTTCTCATATTTTAAAAATTAATTCTTTTGAATTGGTCAAACGAACTTGGACCAAGAAATAACCAAACTAAACCTATGTGTTTGATGACTGTATCATTTGAAATCATTTATGGTCCCAAAATTTCATTTTAAGTTTTTATTTTTTGAAATTCAATATTTTTAAATTATTCGAACGAACTCGGACGAAGAAATAACATAAATCATAGTTGTAGATCTCAATGAAATAGACTATATTTTAGAAAAAAAATAGCACCAAAATTTAATTTATGATAATTTTAGAACTTCTTATGACAAAAATCAATTATTAGATAAATATTTTAATACATATAAATTATTACCAACAAATAAATTTAATATATAGAAGTTTTATTTGGCTCTTGCCTTTGTCTAACTTTAGCACCTTAACTATCATCAAAACCGTTCAATTTTGACCTCCAAGACAGTTTTGAGTGGTTTTGAGATGGCTCTGTGGTCAAGATTAAAGGGTTTTTGATAGTTGAAGTACTAAAGTTAAACGGTTTTGTATTCGGGAGTTAAAATTAGACAGACAAGAGTTAAGTGGCTAAAAATGGACTTAATCGTAGAAGATATTGGCGCTGTTCGCTAGTCTGGTAAACCAGACCAGCCGGCTGATCCCCCTCAGAAGCCACTATTTATCAACCAGCCGTTACAGTGTTTCTCTCTCACAAAACCAGCCAGTTTCAGCTAAGTTTCAAACCAGCGAACGGGGCGATTATGTTTACCCTTTGTGACAGAGAAATTCTATTGACGCTTAAGAGTGTTCCCCTTCAGTGCTTGAGGTGGATCGGAGTGCCAGCCAAACAAAATCCTGGTGGGCATTGACAAGGTGCTTTCCCCCCGCACCTTGCGAGACACTTGAGGATGAAAATCAGGATTCGATTCCTTGGATCATCACTTTGGAGGCCTTGCATTGAGTACACTAGTTGTTCATGCGTTTGTGTAGAACTAGTATTTTTTTTAACAACGACAGAAGTACTGCACTCAAAATTCGCAAACACACCCACACACGCGAGGTTGTTCGAACGGTCTCAAATGCGCCTACTGAGTAACTCACGCATTCACGCACACCCATCTCATATACACGCACACTCACCTCATACAGATGCTCGGTCCTTGTTCGGATATAGTCAGATTCGTATCAATCCACACACGTTGAGATGGAATGTACACGTGGATTAAGGAGAACCCGACAACATCCAAACAAGACCTTCTGCATAAAAATTCCCTGTGCGACCCAAGTTCGTTTAGCCAGAATTGAATATCATCTAGGTAATACAGGTGATTTCAGTTTTGTTTTTGCCAAATGCCAAGATGAATATGTTCGCTCTTTATTATCAATCAATAATCTACCGTTTTCATTTTTCTAATGCTCGAGGAACAGACCCTGTTCGCTTTGAGCTACTTTTCAGCCATGAAATAATATTTTTCTCTCGTAACATTTCAGCATAAGCATCAGCATAAGCCAAATTTCAGCTAAGGTTACTCATTCTGTTGCATAACACATTCCCAGTGTGTTTTTGGTTCAGTTCATAGTTCAAGAAACATAACCAAACATTACTTTCGGATTTTCCTGATTTTTTTAAACAATAGTAAAACAAAGTAACATATTAGCCGTAAGTTATCAATAGAGGGAATGTAATTTAGATTCTGCTTGGAATATGATCTGTTAGTACTTTAGAGTTTCAGACGATGCGATTGACTCTGAATATATTTCATACTATGTTTTTCTTTTATTTTGTGCTGCGCCACTTAAATTTGTATGCCTCTGCAGTTTCACATACACTATTTATATGGCAGGAGACGAGGTACCTTTGAAGCAGAGCAAGAACATCCGTCCATCTAACGACAATAAGAGTGGCACGGCTGAAGTGGAGTAGGAGGGATGCACTACCTGACTCTGTACTGCCCAAATACAAGATAATGTGCTGACAGTTTTCGGAAACTTCACTAAATTCTTTTTTTCCATTTTGAATCTGGGCAGTCAAACAAATCTAATAAACTTCACAACCTTGCTAGACTATGTTCTTTAACCAAATTTGAACAAACGTTGCAATTTCCAAGTCACTTCCCTTATTCGCTTACTTTAACCAAATTTGTTACAATGAGTGCTAAACTTCACAGGAATGCAGTATAAAGGCCAATATTCATTTTTTGGCTATCATTTCAACACTAAGTGCTTCGCTTACGTTTCTGTGCAGGTCATCCAAAGTCGCAAACTAAGATCTACT